TTCTAGATTCTTCTTTCATTCGTATTTTCTCTTGCTCTTTTTCTTCTAACAGATTTTTTAATGAAGAGAGCAACTCGTCTAATTCTGACACTTGCCCTTGTTTTTCTTGTAGTTGCTTTGTCAGATTTTCTTTTTCAGCCCTAATTGTGACAAGGTCTGACTTGAAAACATTCAGGCTTTCAGCCATCTCTTCCATCTGAGTTTTTTGGGTCTCCATCTCTGCTTTGAAATTCTCAGCATCGAGAATCACCAGCTCTTGGTTTTCTTCTGACATCTGCAATTCCCTCTCAAGGTTCTCCACTTTATCTTTCAGGGAATCATTCTCCCGCTGGCTTTCTCTCAGTTTCTCCATGACATGGAGCTGCTTCTTTTCGTCAGCCTCAATGCGGACTCTCAGTTTCTCGATGCCTCTTCTCAGCTGATGCACCTCCTCCTGGGTTGAGCCCAGCCTCTCTGCAAACTCACCTTTCTCCATCAGTGCAACTTCCAAGGCCTTGGAGACAGCCAACTTTTCATGTTCTGACTCCTGCAGTTTGGCCTGCAGGCTTTCAGATTCCCTCATCAGTGATCCTTTCTCTTGATTCAGTTGTCCAATTTGGTTCTCCAGTTCACACTTTGCAAGAGACAGGGCCTGTGAGTCCTCTTCCAAATTCTGAAGCTGCTCCTGAAGATGAGCTTTGTCTTTCAACAGCTCACTCACATCAGAGGACAGAGTCTGAAGGAGTTCTGTTTTGTCCTTGACCTCAGCCTCTACCACCTGAATATGATGAAGACTCTCACCATGTTGAGACTCCAGCTCTTGAATTTTCTCCTTCATCTTTGCAGACATCTGATCCAGGGCCTCATTTTCTTTTGACACAGAATCTAATTCTCCCTGAAGCCGGTTTCTCTCACTTGTGACCACAGAGAGCTCCTCTTCAAGGCAGACAATAACTTTCTGCTTAKTTTCTCTGTCTTTTTCTAAACGTACCTTCTCTGTTTGAACTATTTCCAAGTCAGCTTCCACAGAGAGGGCATGATGTTCAATTCTAGCTTTCTCAGATGTGAGYCTGTTCAGCTCATTTTCCACATCAAGAAATTTCTCTTTCCATTTGTCATCTGCCAGGGATATGTTACCTTCAATAACTTCATGCAATGATTCATCTGTGCCCATCTCCAAATCAGAACTAAAGCCATTTGAAGCTTCCACTCTCTGGCATGACTCCTGGTTATCCTGGTTATGAGAAAAGGATTCCAACTTTTCACTTAAATCAGATTTTTCTTTCTTGAGTTCCTCAACTGTTTTCTCCCATTGCATGCATGATTCAATCTTGGTCTTCAGTTGTGCTTCCTGTAAATTGAGTTTTGAGTCTAACTCTTTTATTTCATGTAGCAAACTTTCAACTTTTTTGTCCCGGTCTTCTATTGCATGAAGTAATCTCGAATTCTCGTTTGATGTCTCTTTCACTTGCAGTTGGAGATTTTGGATGTAKGCCTGATTCTCTAGAAAATCCATGGGTACCAAGGTATTTGGACCAGAAAATGCCAATTCAGAAATACATCCTGAATCGCCCTGGATTTTGTCTTCTGCTGGTATCTCATAATTGGTTTTTGAGGACTTCTCCCCAGACTCCTCTCCTGTAAGTCTGGCTATATTGGTATTGGTCTCACTGATTTTCTCAATCTCTAGATTGAGGTCTTGCTGAACATCTTTATCACAAATCTGATGAATATCCTGCTTGAGTGTTTCTTCTGTAGTTTCTGAATTATGTTCTTCCTTTATGTCACARCTATCATTTTGGTCCCGAATAGCCTGTTATTATAATAGATCACAAGAATGCATTTTATTTTTCAAGAAGCATCAAAGAAAATCAATATTACTACTTTATACAAAATGCTATCCGGCTTCTGCTAAAAGCAGATCTTTCCAAATCACATATTTCCTATCACATCTTTCCATCTGCTTTCTCTGTCCAAATACTCAACAGAACTAAACATTCAATAGGTTCCAAATATGTGCAAGGCAATGACAATGTATTCATCATGAAGATATAAGTTACTTTATCAATTAAATTTAATATATTGAAATTTTTTTCTTCCTTGCTAGGAATACTCTAGCTCTACATATAAGATTTCTTTGTGGGGCTGGGGTTGTGGCTCAGCAGTAGAGCACTTGCCTAGCACGTGCAAGGGGCTGAGTTCAATCCTCAGCACCACATAAAAATAAACAAATAAAATAAAGGTATTGTGCCCAACTATAACTAAATTTTATTTAAAGATTTCTTTGTGAATATCAATTAAGTAGCCAACAAATTCCATATAAATGTTTAGCTTCCATCCTCAGTATTTATGATATTCCTTAATAAAAGAAAGTATAATGTTTCATAACCAGATTTCCAGCCCAAGGTCTCCATGCCCAATACAGCACTTACCATGTACATTCTTAGATAAATTACATATAAGCATTTCATTTCCCTTTCATCTACAAAATAAGGAGTTGATATTTTGGCTAGTCCTCTTGACCCTCATCATGAACTCCCTCCCCACCTCATAGAAATATACAGAGAGAGACTCAAACTATACAGTATTATTATTTGAACTGGTCAACGARAAAGGACCAAGTCCTTAATAACTAAACAAGTACGTATCCAATAAATAAAGACTGCCAGTCCCAGTGGCACATGCCTGGAATCCCAGCAGCTCAGGAGGCTRAGGCAAGAGGATCACAAGGYCAAAGCCAGCCTCAGCAAGGCCCTATGCAACTTATCAAGACCTTGTCTCAAAACAAAAAATAAAAAGGAATGGGGAAGTGGSTCAGAGGYTAAGCACCCCTGGGTTCCATTCCTTGTACAAAAACTAAGGAGAGAGAAATAAAGTTTTCTTTAAATGACATAATACCAAATCACAGATTTGTACCACAGCAAATTGTTASAGAGAAATTGTTAAGCAATATGTTAAACAATCTGGTATATTTAGTTTCATGACTATAATGCTGTAACATTACAATAGTCTAAAAAGGGCATGAGTTATAAAATCCTTATCATATTGCCATTCATAAGTGTGCCTTATTAACTCTCAATGAAAACACAGATTCTAAAGACCTTCTGAATCCATAATTTTTCCCGGCTTTAGCAACACCTTAATTAATTTCCCATATAATAAATAGTAGTAATAGTTGAAATAGTAGCACTTTAAATCTACTCATTATAGAAATGTATTCCTCAAATAAGATTTMCTCATTTTTCTAAAGTTATAGTTGGTTTTAGAAAAATTTTGGAATATTTTATATTTCCTTGAACCATATATTTATACACTAACTTAGATTTCATGTCAATTTCAAGTCAACATTTGTTGAGTGACTACTGATCATGCCAACAGAAATAGCACGTAATCCCAGGTACTTACTTCTACTTCAGAGTCAAGCAAAGACCGAGAACTTAGGTCCAGCCCTTGCAGCTGGAGTCGTGCTACTTCAAGCTCAAGTGACAGGTGTTCCGTCTGCTTCTTTTCTGCTGCCAACTTGGACTCCATCTCCAAAGTCACACTTGTCAGCTTCTGCTGCCACTGTTCATTTTCTGACAAATACTGCTTCCTGAGACAATCGAGCTCTTTCCTTTCAGAACTTAATAACTGCTCAAGCTCTTGAATTTCTTTATTTTTCAGAATCCCTTCACTTTCGATTTTCTCTTCCAGATTCTTGAGGGATTCCAAGTACACCTGACARAGGGTCTCAAGTTCTTCCACACTCTTCATGGGGGCAGTTGGGATTTCTTTCTTTGCCAGATTTTCCTCCAGATGGCTACAAGATACTTCATCTATGTTAGACAAGTKTGCTGAAATACTTCCTTCTAAACTACTCAAGAGAGAAAGGTCTCCAGACTGTTCTAAAACATCTTTGTAAAAAGAGGATTCTCYAAAACTTGTCAGGCTAGGGCTGTCTGTCACACAAGAGAAGGACAGTGACAGATTACGCCCCTCCTCAGGTTCTGGCTTCAAGTCCTTTACCAATTCACCTTGCAAGTTTCTCAGATTCACTGACAAAGCCGAATTTTCAGCCTTCAATGTATCAACATAGGACCGTAGCTCTGCCATCTTAGAGCTCATCTGACAGTGCTGATCATGTAAAATTTTGTGTTCACTTTGTAAAGATGAGAATTTCTCCTGTAATTCTGCAAAATGCATTTGAACTTCTTTATTTGACAAGGTCAAGCGCTCATAGGAATTACTGTCATCCAAAGGATTCAAGGACACTGACATCTGCTCGTTTTGTTGCTCACCAAATTCACCATCTGACATTTCTTTCACTAACTCATCTTGAAGAAGACCATTTTCATCATTTAATATTTTAACTTCACTTACTAGTTTCTCTACCTCTTCTGCCATTTTACTCGTTGTTGTGATACACTCTGATCTTGAATCATTCAGCTCAGATACCAGTTCCAGCTTTTCAGCCCGCAGTGCCTCACACATTTTCTCTAGCTCATTCAGCTTGTTCACTGCTGTCTGCAGAGAGCAATGAAGCTGTGCATTGTCATTCTGACTGGTTGACAATTCATGAAGCACCGAAAGGTACCTTTCTTCTGTATCTATTTCACAGTCTTTAAGGCCACTAATTTCCTGTGGCTGATCATCTTGCAAATTTCCAGTTCCTAATTTTCCTCTAATTGTCTGTAATTCCTGCTGCAAGCACTCTTTCTCCTTCTCACTTTGTTGAAGTTTCAATTCCATATTTTTCACCAAAGCTTCTAATTGTATAAACTGTGTAGTACAACTGCCTGGAGCAATGTCTTTAACTTCAAGATCCATGTGATGCTGAAAATCACATTTATTTATCTCATTCTCCGTTTCTTTCACAGAGTCCCTAATTGTTTCCAAATCTGGATGCTGCTGTTCCAGTTCAGTCTTTGTCAGCTTCATCAGTTGCTCATTCTCTTGTAATAAGTCATTGACTTCCTTTTGCAGCTTATTTTGTTCTTCCTTTAGAGTCATGATTTCTTGCTTTAAACCATTAGCCTCATTCTGAGAATTGTTTTGGATGTCTGTAATCTCAGATCTCAGAGTTTGTTGTACTATCCCCAACTCTAGCATTAGTTTCTGGTTTCTTTCTTCAGCAAAAGCTAATTTTGTTAAGAATTCTTGATGTTCCTTTGCAAATGCTTCCTTTAGCTGTTCCAATTCAGTTTTTCTGTTTTCACAAATGCCAGTGCATTCCTTTAGTAAGCATTCTAATTCAGAGTTCTTTTCTTGCACTGCTTTGTATTTTTCATGAAGATCCTCCAATGCACTTCCGGTTTCTTCACATCTCTGTTGTAAAAGAAGTCTTTCTTGCTTATACTGATCAGATAACTCTGAAATGCTTTTCTCTCGTTCTTCTATACAGCTGGAAAAATTCTCATTTTTTTGGATTAAGTTCATTTTCTCTTGACTTAAGGTTTCATTAATTTCTTTGAGCGCCCCATTCTCTTGGGTCAATTCTTCAATTTCTTTTTTGCTTAGAGAAATGATGGAACTCATTTCCTTTTTCTCTGAGCTCAGGGTTTCAGATAAAAGTTGTAGCTCCTTTAGAGAGACTTCAAGTAGATGGTTGCTCTTTTTTAATTCTTGAATCTCTGCTTGCTCAGCTTCTAGTTGTTCTTTCAAAAGTTGCAACTCCTTTTCCTTGTTCTCCAGGGCAACTAAAGTTTCATTAACCACATTCTGATGAACGACAGTGTCTTCCTGTAACTTACTAATGCGATGACTTGTTTCAGCCACRAAGCTTTGATGCATCTGTTCTGCTTTCATGAGATTTTCTTCTATTTCTCCTTTGACTTGCACCAACTCTTCACACTGCTTCTGCAGATCTGAGTTCATCTGCTTTTGAGACTCTAAGGAAAATTCAAGTGAAACAACTCTGTTTTGTAAGAGAGCTGAATGCTTTGGACTTTGGTCTGCACCTAAGTGGCATTTGCTTATTTYGGAAAGCATGGTTCCTTGTTCCCCTGTTAGATTTGCAAAGGAATTATTCACTRTAGGCTGCTGTTCAAAAACCAAACAACTTCTGTGATGATCCTCATTCGACACCAGATTAGAATCCTTGGATCTGAGGAGTTCCCTGAGGTTCTCATATTCAGCATGCAAGTTTTGGTAATGCTGGTCTTTGTCCATTATTTCCCTTGACAGTAACTGAAGCTTGTGTTSGAGATCTCCAACTTGCCCAGTTAGCTCTGAAGTTTTCAGACACATATTTTCTATTTCCTTCTTATGCTTCTGATCAGAGATCTCAGCTTTCTGCTGTAATTCTACATAAGCTTTTTTCTGTGTCTCTATCTCCATGGTCTTGCTCTCTATCACATTGTGAAGGTTTCTGATCTCAACATTTAGGTTTTCTCGTTCCATCTCCAGGGTCTTTTCTCTCTCATTGTATTCGTGACTTTTTATTTGCTGAGTCTTAAGGCAGGTTTCCAAGTGATTGATTTTACTCTGCAAACTTTCCTTTTCTGATTCCAACTGATTTAATAGTTTTTCATTTTCATTTTTCCAATGAGAAAACTGAGTTTTCTCTTCTTTCAATTCTTCATACTCTTTCTTTTTTAACTCCAAAGCACTCAATAAAGCTTTGGATTCTTTTTCTATCTTSCCTAATTTATCATTCAGTTGTTCAATGTGATGTTCCCTCTTCTTCAAAAGGTCTTGAGAACAGTCCCGTTGTTTTTCCAGATCGGCCAAGGCAAGCTTCAGTTTTTCTAAGGTCAAGGAGTTTTCCTGCTGATTAATTTTGTCTTGAAGATCTCTTAACATGGTTTCCTGAGMGGTATTCTTAGCTAGTTTAAAAAGAAAAAATTGTCAATGTTTTAATAATTATCTATTCTATAAGAATTCTAGCCAAGCATGGTGGCACACACCCATAATCCCAGTGGCTCAGGAGGCTGAGGCAGAAAGTCACAAGTTCAAAGCCAGCCTCAGCAACTTAGTGAAACCCTAACCACCTAGCAAGACCTGTCTCAAAAAATTTTTTAAAAGGGGGTGGGGGATCCTGGGGAGGTAGCTCAGTAGTTAAGTGGCCCTGGGTTCAATCCCTGGTACCAAAAAAAAAAAAAAAAAAGGATTCTACCCTCTAGCCACGTACAGTGGTGCACACCTAAAATCTCAGGAACTCTGTAGGCTGAGGCAGGAGGACTGTAATTTAAAGGCCAGCCTGGGCAACTTACGGAGAACCTGTCTTAAAATAACATAGCAAGGGCTAGGAATGTAGCTCAGTGGCAGGGTGCTTGCCAGCATACATAAGGCCCTGAGTTCAATCCCCAGCACTGACGTTAAAAAAAAAAAAAGAAACAAATAAATAACTTCTTAAGCCTTGTAAAAATCAACATTATTGCTATATCCCTCTTGGAAAGCAGATCATCTAATAATTACCTAAGTTTATATAAAGACAGTGAGGAAAAAGCTCGTTTTAAGGATAGTATGATAGTATCACACTAAGTCTTCTTTTAAGCAGCTTAATAAAAGTGCTATATAAAATACCAAGGGGGGCTGGGGATGTGGCTCAAGTGGTAGCGCGCTCGCCTGGCATGTGTGCGGCCCAGGTTCTATCCTCAGCACCACATACAAACAAAGATGTTGTGTCTGCCGATAACTAAAAAAATAAATATTAAAAAATTCTCTCTCTCTCTCTCTCTCTAAAAAAAAAAAAAAAAAAAAAAATACCAAGGGAATATTTCCTTGAGCACTTCTTTACTTCTTTTTCTTTGTGTATATCATATTTTGATTATTTATTCCAAGAAAACTAGGAGAAGAGAACTAAAATTGAAAAATTGAAATATCCTAATTCACGCTATGGTAATTCTGATGTCTCAAAAAAAAAAAAAACTACTCACAACACCATTTTAATTACAAGTTCATGATGCTACATATCAGTTAACTCTCAAGGCCTATATGTGAGTAATCTTGGAGAACAATATCATCCACAGTTTAGCTTCTCACAGTAAGGATGACAAGAAGATATGAGAATCATCTGGAAGCTTTCATGACCTTGTTTTCTGCCCAATGCCTCACCTCTACCCACAGCCCCTCGCATTTGGGATAAACATAATGTGTTCATAGAACAGTGATGAGAAGGCTTCATATTCCTCAAGTATGTTGGGGGAGGAAAAAAGTTGAGAACCTCAACAGTATGACAGAGGCAGCACGTATCACACTCTCAGAAGCAATACTGAATGATAATCATACACATTTCTAACCTGCTAGTCTCAAATCTATCCACTAGGCATTGATGGCTTGTGGAACAATGATCCAAAAACTTCAATTTGCTSTATGTGGAAGGCCCTCCAATAATGACACTGGTAAACAACACTTAAAAGAGTCCTAACCATTACACCCTGTTACAATTTTCCTTCAGGAAAGCTAAAAAACTGGCATTTTTTGCCTATGGAAAATGAAAGTCATCTTGAGCAGACTTAGTCCCAGCTCCTTATAAGGCTGAAGCAGGAGAATCACTTGAGCCCAGGAGTTTGAGACCAGCCTGGGCAACACAGACTCAATTGCATAAACAAACAAACAAACAAACAAATAGAATAGTCATAGGGACATTGACAGATATTCATGGGTCATATTTCTTTGAGAAGAAATCCCAGACATGCAGACACCCCAGAGAAGAAAATATATATATAATTTAAAAACATAGCACAGACAAAAATGAAACAATTGATGGGTTCATTTGCTGTAAATAGATAATTCCTTGACTTTAAAGTCAGGAAATAAAATCATTCAGTCAAATAGGTTATTCAAATTGCAATGGTCAGGGCTGAGGTTGTAGCTCAGTGGTACAGCACATGCCTAGCATGTGCAAGGCACTGGGTTCCATTCTCAGCACCACGTATAAATAAATAAATAAAAGGTCCATGGACAACTAAAAAAAGTAAATATTAAAAAAATTTTTTTAAATTAAAAAAATGCAAATAGTCATTACAGGGTTTGAAAAACATACACTAAACACAAGAGTTTTTTCATTCTGAGGGAAATGGAGGTAATGGGCAAACACACTTTGGACAAAAAGAAAACACTGGGACGAGAGACGGCACTGACAACTGAGCTTCGTGTGGAAAATATTTACCCTCTGGTTTCAAAGTGGTAAAAACCTTGCCTTCAAGGTCTCAATACATTCATTTTTAAAAATACAACTCTTTCTCTTGAAAATTAAAAAGTGGAAGAGAGAATACTTTTTCCACATCAACTACAGGATCTTTTGGGGTGAATATATGGTAAAATTCAGTTTCTCTAATATGTTAAAGTCATCCATCTTCCTTCACTGGGGTAATAACTTAGAGAACTAACTAAAACACTAAGTTTACTCACCTCTCATTTCTTCTGCAAAATTCTGGCTCTGATTTAAACTCTCTTTGACTTTCCTGAGTTCTTCCTCCAGGTGGCAGACTTCTCTGGCCCTTTGCTCAGACTGGCTCTTAAGGAGACCATTTTCCTTTTTCATTTCCTAAAATACACATTAAGTTGATTACAATCAAAACAAATGCTCAAACAAGTCATGACTTCTGCCTTCATAAGGGTCCTTAGCAGAACTGTCTGTATATCTCTCCCTTCRAGTACCTCATGAAGATAGACATTTTTCCTTGAATCAAATAATGTCATGAATTGAAATCAAAGCCAAAGCAGATGATAATCTTTTTCCTTCAAAAAAACATGTATCGGGCTAGGGATGTGGCTCAAGTGGTAGCATGCTTGCCTGGCATGCGTGCAGCCCGSATTCGATCCTCAACACCACATACAAACAAAGATGTTGTGTCTACCAAAAACTAAATAAATAAATAAATTCTCTCTCTTTAAAAAAAAAAAAATTTATCTCTTTGCAATTTCTTGTTGTGCTTATGACTGCTAAAGAGTTAGCTTACATGGAAAAATCTATTTATAAGATCCTCAAGGACAAAGGTTCCAAGTTCTTATCAAATATATCTTTGCAAAGAGTTGATGCATTCCTAAAACAAATTATTCAYGTGATAAATTTTTACTTCTCATTATAATATCATCTAAAGGTTCATTGTTGGGGAATGTCTTTATGAGTAAAATTACCTTCAAGAAACATTTTCATCAAGAAAATGTACAATGTTCAAGATGCTGGGATGTAATTATGAGAAGAACAAATATAAATAATAATAATAATCACTGAATACCCACCAGAACGTGCCAAATACCAAAGAGACATTGAGTGTGGGTGAAAAAGCAAAGGTTGGGGAGAAGACGAATAATTAATTCCATATAGGAGAATTTGAGCTCTCACATGAAACAGATTCATTGGGTGTTTGAGTAAATAAGTACCCATGCATCTGTGTGCAATAAGGTAGCAGAGATGCATACATATACAGTTCCAACCCATTATCTCAGGAGACCTCTGATCTTAAAAACTAAGCAATATTTACATGCCAAATGAAAGCATGATTACTCCTTAACCACATAGGACTCATATAATAAACATTATGAATACTCCATACCTACTTGAAACTTATCATAGTTTTTTTATGCTCATAAGTATCTCAACCTATATTATGTACCACACTCTGGACCACATGGAATTAGCAGATATCATTAAAAACTGACAGAACCAAGTGCCTCACATCTTTTGAGTGAGGAAAAAGGCTAATGTTTTAAAAAACTGCCTTTCAAAAATACCTTTCTGAGAAGCAGGGGGAAATTTCTGAATCTTAAAGAAACAATTAAGACCCATCCTCCAAAATCCTACAGCACYGTTTGAAAACAGATGGCCCTGGCAAAGCTGTGTTGGAAGACTGCCTTCAATTATCAGTCTGGTTACTACCAGCAGATGGGTACTGATGCAGCAAAGCCAAATTCAAGAAGAGGGAGAATCTGGCTAGTAGAAAGTACTTGAAAACTTGCTGGCAGCTGCTCTGTTCATGTATATACATTCATTTCATCATTAAAATGAGACAGAACCTGTTGTCGGTATTATACTCCTGTCTCCCACATCCTAATCCTGCCTTTCTTCCATGGCAAAACTGACACTCTGTCAAATTAAGATATCAATCAGAACTAAAGGGCTGATTGTCCAGTGAACTCTAGACAGAGGCTAACTCACACCAGTCAGTATTAAATTTTGCAAAGAAAGATCATGAAGGTGAAACAATGTTATTGATTTAAGTTAGCATCATTAAACCACAGAAAATGTAATCCCTTGTTTGTTCTTCAGGCTCAATAAAATCTCCCAGTCAATGAGATCACAGATGGAACCGCTCTGACAAGTGTAATGGAGTGTTATTATTATTTTTTCTTTCCAAAGTTTAATTTGCAAGATCATGATCAATGGCAAATAAGGTCAACATTAAGACTAACTAGAACATRACTACCTGGGTTAACTTACCACTTTTATTTTACAGCCTAGAAAATATTCTTACCCTAAAAAATTGATCAAATCAATCACATCTAATCTTTGGGAGACTGACAAAGCTGAGAAGACATCCCAACAGGAAGGAAGGTAAGAAAAAGGAGAAAAGGGAGGGAAGGGACCAGCAAGGCAGGGGGGTAATTTATAGTATGTGTCTGTTGATCTCCATTCTTCTCTGWCCATAACTGGAGACATTTAAGTGAATAGTAAGCTCAATGGAAAGATTTAGAGTGTCTTTCTCTATTCTGGCACTAGCTTCGTAAATATTTGTTTCTAATGAAAAAATGTTCAGCCAACCCTGGGACCCAGCAGGCTTATAATGCCACAGCTATGACCAACCCAAGAATTTTAAAAGGCCAGAATTTAGAAAACGAACATCTGAAAATGGATGTGCAGGCTGCCATCCATCAGCAATTAGTTTTCTKCGAGGCTACAGCCACTTAAGACTTGATTGGGTAGCTCATTACCAACAATGAGCTAAGCGTACAAGGATATATTCTCCTAGGCACCTTGTGCATCCTCACATGATTTGCAAAATTGGGCACTACTCAGGAAAAACACGACAAAAATCCCTATAAGCAGGAGCCAGCATTAGAGCTTAGCAAGCAATTCCACCCAGATCAACTTTGGTTTAGGAGCAGCAAGGGAAGCATCACTTCCTAGGGCCAGACAAAACAAATTTCAGCTAGTGTTCGGTGTTTCATGATCCCATCCCTGAATATAGCTTAATATGTCCCCTGCCAGGGTGAAGTCTCTATGTGACTATGAGATGAAAGCAGAAGATGCGCTTTTCCCCTTCCACCTCATCATTCTTGCCTGCCAGACTGAGCTCCTTAGAGTATCTAGTATAATACAGATCCCTATGTTTGGAAAGGTCCCCAAGCAAGTGTTCCCTCATCTTGCCTGTCAAATGATGGGATTTTATTGCCAAACCCCAATGCAATGGGGGCTGGCACTGGATTCCAGATAAGCAGCCCATCTAAACCCTCCACTCACTTTTGATACTAAATGTTAACTTTACCCTTGGTTGGGCCATTAAATCACGTTTCCAGCACTGATAATTTCTCATTGTGAGCAGCATATTAGTTTACTAAATACGAACAAGGAAAATTTCAGTACAACTGTCACATTGTTTCAGCATCCAAAACCTATAAGCATGCTAAACTTGTTTGTACTTACTTATAATTAGATATGGAAAGACACCCAGAGTGGTAGTATAATAGAACAGGCAAAKTTTTAAATATGAAAAACCTCAAATGCACTGTCCCCTGGTCATGACCTTCTGTGCCTATAGGTGACAGCAAACAATGTTAACATCAAAATGGTCCTAATAGATGTGAAGACTAAAGCAATGAGCAGGTGGGTTACAATAATTTACTGAGCATTTTTGTGCTGGGCATGGAGCCAAGGATTTTATGTACAATATTTAATTTAATCATGAATATAGCCTTGAAAAGGGAAAGGTATTATTTGTCCCTCAGAAAGGCTAAGTCACCATCTCAAGGTTACAGAGAAGGTAAGTGGTAGAAAAGCAATGCAAATTCAGATCTCGCTCCCTCCAAAGACACCACCATTTATAGCCCCAGTCCTACCACCACTTCTTTTTTTTTTCTTTCTTTGCAGTAGCGAGGATTAAGCCCATGGATGCTCTACAACTGAACTATATCCCCGGTCTTTTTTATTTGAGACAGGRGCTTGCTAAATTGCCCAGACTGGCCTCCAACATGCAATCCTCCTGCATCAGCCTTGCTAGTCACTTGGACTACAGGTGTGCACTACTGCAACCAGCATCATACCATCACTCTTACTGATAAGTCACTTATCTGATCCCAATCCCAATTCAAAGGACAAGTGCCAGCTGACCCCTGTCAATTCATGATGTTATTTTTGAAAGACACATGTGATCATATACATCAATTAAGAAGAGCACTAAATTCATTCCCAGGCCCTGTTCTAGGTACTTTCCACACATGACTGACTACCCTTATGTGACAGAAATCAGTGAAATATAAGTGAAACAAGATATGCATGTAACTGAGGATAGGGTGGAGTTCATTGGAGATAGCTCTACAAATGATAGCCAGACGCTGCAAAGATGCACAAGTCTTCAGAAACACCTGCATGATGACATCCAGCCCAGTACTATGACTCAGCCTAGCATGCCACTTGAAAAGTGTTTGGACTCTCTTGACCAGATGATTGTTTTTACAAAATGTTTCCTCCAGGAAGCCAGGGGAGTTGCAGAAGAGTTTCTGGCTGAAAGAGAAGCTCACAGAGGGAAGAGTTGATGCCAGTCTGCCTGTGGAAATGTTAGCAGAAGCATCTGTTGGTTGCTCCCCACTGGCCAAAAGGCAAACATTTGTTTTGTTGCAACAAACACTTCCATTTGAAAAACTATCACTGGATGTGAAATTCCTTCTACTCGGGTTGCAGGAGGGAGGCCCACCTTTCCAGCAGTGCTCCCCCTTCATAGCTACCTGCTGAAACAACCACTTCTTCACCATGACAGATGTTCTAATTTCACAACTGTGACACACTCTGCAAAGCCCTGGAGGAAAGTACACTTAGATTTTCATCACCTGTATAAGGAACTATGCTTTATAGAGAATTCTTTTCTTTAAAACTGATCACAGAACATTTAAATAAGCAGGAAAATATTCTTTCCTATTATGTCCCAGGGGAAAGAAACCTCCACTGAACTTTTGCTACTCCTCCTTCTGAAGTTACAATACTGATTCTATTCAAATTGTTTCAGTCTATTGCCTGTTCCTAAATGGTTCTTAATTAAGCCCTTTAAATAAAGTCTAGGACACTAAATAAATTCAGAAAGAAACCATGTATGCATGAACAAAATCTTAGTAGAAACACTGGGGTACTCCTGGCATCCACACCACCACCTAGAGACCCTTATCCACCATTCTGTAGGATAAACAGGAATCTCCAAAAACAATGTTTACCAGTGTTTGCACATACTGAACACCAAGATTGGTGTTTAGTTTTGAAGATAGAGTAACAAAATACAATTGATAATGATTTTTTTTTTTTGGTGGTACTATGTATCAAACCCAAGGCCTCACATATGTTAGGCAAGGGCTCGGCCACTGCACTACACCTCCAGCTTCTCAATTTTTATAAGAATTTTAAATCTATACACTGTCTGTCATTACTTTTCTTCTTCATTTAAATATATGACTTTCTACAGGTTTTTAGTATTACCTAACTCAAAAGCCAACCCTTAGTAAAGGGATTTAATCAATAGCTTACGTCAACAGTTCTGTCTCTTTCCATTCAGAAAATCCACTCCTTTCTTTTCTTTCTTYTACCTCCCAGGTGGAATGATTCTAAAAAACAACTGAGTCTGTGTTCTCAATACAAATCATATTTTCTTATAAATGCTAGATGCATGCAAGTAATGCAAAGTAAAAAACACATATTCCATGTCATAGTTATATAACAAAACAGTTGTAATACTTACTTCTGGCAAATAAGGAAAAATATATACACTTGTGATAAACTACTGACAAATGAACAGAAATTCTTCTAATCCTCGTACCTCATCCTGCACAGCAGGTGAGAAATACTCAGCTCTGCCCCTACTTACCTCACTGCTTCTCCTCAGCTCATCCTCCTTGATCTGACTCGCCTGGATAGCCTGCTCCATTTTGCTGACCCTCTGCTTAAACTCTTCCAAATTCTTTTCTAATTGTTGCTTTACAGATGTGACCTACAATGGGGAGGAAAAAGAAAAAGCATTATTTTTATGTTTTTTATTTGTAAATAATCATTCATTCTTTTTTTTTATTTCTTACATACATGACAATAGTGGAGTGCATT